GAGACAGAGTCTCACTTTGTTGCCCAGGCTAGAGTGAGTGCCAGTGGCGTCAGCCTAGCTCACAGCAACCTCAAACTCCTGGGCTCAAGCAATCCTGCTGCCTCAGCTCCGGAGTAGCAGGACTACAGGTATGCGCCACCCATGCCCTGGCTAATTTTTCTATATTATTGGCCAATTCAATTTCTTTTCTATTGTAGTAGACGATGGGTGGGTCTCGCTATTGTTTTCAGCGCTGGTTTGAACTCCGCTGACCTCGGCAATTCCACCCCCGCCTTGTGCTCCCAGATTCTAGGATACAGGCGTGAAGTACCTCGCGTCCAGCATTTATTTTTAAGTTCTAAGTTATATAACTGAAATTAGCCACATTGCAAAGTCTGAAAATAGGAAAGAACAAACCGAACCAATTGTAACTCCTATCGTTCTAACAGTAACGATCATTTTTACGTTTTGGATTAAATTGGTCTCTTTTCAATGCCTACCTGTTACTGCTTATTAAGGTTACTAACACCTACTGAATTTTTTTTTTTTTTTTTTTATTTTGAGACAGAGGCATACTGATTGCCCAGGCTAGAGTGAGTGCCGTTGGTCAAGCCTAGCTCCACATGCAAACTCAAACCCTGGGCTCGAGTGACCTCTCCCTCAGCCTCCCGAGTAGTTCTGGGACTACAGGCATGCCGCCACCATGCCCGGTAAATTTTAGTATACTTTATATAGTGATAATATATATATATTATCGTTGGCCAATTGATCTTTCCTGTTTATAGTAGAGAGCGGTCTCGCTCTTGCTCAAGGGCTGGTTTGAACTCTACCTTGACAAGTGCCGCCCGCCTCGGCCTCCAAGAGCTAGGATTACAGGCGTGAGCCACAGCGCCCGGCCCCTACTGAATTTTTTTTACTCTTCCTCAGTCTCTTCCATCCCTACCTTTGAATGTATTAAATACATATTTTTCTCCCTACCTCTGACTGTCTCCCTTCCTTTATGACTGTCTCCTTCCTTGCTGAGCTTCTTTTCCTACATTCTATCTCCTAATATCAACTGACTGCAAAATAAGATTTACATTTAGAATATGTTTTTTAAAAGAATACCATTTAAAAGTTTGAAATCAGGCTGGGCGTGGTGGCTCACGCCTGTAATCCTAGCTCTCTGGGAGGCCCAGGCGGGCGGATTGCTCAAGGTCAGGAGTTCAAAACCAGCCTGAGCAAGAGTGAGACCCTGTCTCTACTATAAATAGAAAGAAACTAATTGGCCAACTGATATATAGTATATAGAAATTGCGGCATGGTGGCGCATGCCTGTAGTCCAGCTACTCGGGAGGCTGAGACAGAAGATCGCTGAGCCCAGAGTTGAGTTGCTGTGAGCTAGGCTGACACCAGGCACTCACTCTCAGCCTGGGCAACAAGCAAGACTCTGTCTCAAAAAAAAAAAAAAAAAATAGATAAATTAATTGACCAACTCAAAAAATATTATATAAAAAATTAGTCGGGCATGGTGGCAATGCCTGTGAGTCACCAGCCTGCCTTGAGCAATCCGCCGCCTCGGCCTCCCAAGAGCTAGGATTAAGGCGTGACAAAAAAAAAAATAAATAAAAATATGAATAGGCAGACTTAGTTGCTTATATATGTAACAACAAAATGCGTTTAAAATGTATTCAAACTTTTGCTTATATAGGTCTGATGTCTGTTAAAAGGGATGCAAATTCTTAAATGTGTAGGTATCATTACTAAAGTTTATATTTCACTTTACGTATAACAATTACAAAGAGGTAAATACGAGTAATTTCTTTTTTGTTTTTTTTTTTAGCATCATTACTCCATTAACAATGGATATGTATGCCTGGACTCAAGAACAAGCTGTATTATACGATGGAATAATACTTGCTGCTCTTGGAATTGAGGCAGTTGTTATTCTCTTGGGGGTTAAATTACTTTCCAAAAAGTAAGTTATATATTTTTGGTTTTGTTTCAAGTCTATTTTTTTTTAAAGTAAAACTTGAAAGAGAACTAACAATGCAAATGATTGGGCTAATAAAAATAATTTAAAGCTTTTCTCTCATTATGTATTATAGTCCTTGATAGTTTGCAAGCATATTTAAAATTTCCTCTGGCATTTCTTTGGTAAAGCAAAATATCTTACAAAGCAAATTATTGTCTCCTTTTGTATATTATGCATACCTTGTATATTATGTTTTACTTAAAGTATTCTTAAATAATATTTCATAAAACCTTGCTTTCTTGTATGATAATATATGTTATGTAACAAAAAACATTCAATGGTTAAGTTTGGAAAATTCTGGTTAAGATTACCAAACCTATTTATTCTACAATTTCTAAGTCTTCAGTATATGTACCCTATATCATGATCATGGCAAATACAGTTTGTAGCATTTCTCAGTTACTTGACCACAGAACCCTTTTTTAAAATGTGCTGCTTGATTTTAACTCTTTTCAATTTATTTTTTGTTAAGAGGGTTTTTTTTTTTTGTTTTTTTGTTTTTTGTTTTTTTTTGAGACAGAGTCTCACTTTTGTTGCCCAGGCTAGAGTGAGTGCCGTGGCGTCAGCCTAGCTCACAGCAACCTCA